ACACTAGAGCACAATGCGATCGACATACATTGTGCCCCCAGCTAGAGTGCCTGGGCCGATTTTTTCCGCCCGGGCCTAACTCGGCCTGAAAACTTTAAATACGGCCTGAACCCGAGCTTGGCCCGAAAGGTTTGGGCTCGGCCCGTTTCAGCCAATTATGCCTGGAACACACAAAGGAGGCACTGTTCCTTTTTCAGTCATTGTGAAGATACCTGCCTCACACAAGATATATTGTGATTAGTGTTTTGGAACTGCTTTCAGTGTCACAAATTTTACTGCTACACTCTCTATACTTTTGGTTTGTTATGCCTGTAACTCTTTTGCGAAATGATTGCAGGGTAATATAAAATATATTTGTAGTCATAGTTGGCTGTCTCATGTATGCACTGCTAACCACAGAATCTTATTTTTGCATTTAAAAAAAACGAATGCAAAATATACTAGCCCCCTAAAGTGGAAAAAAAACTATGGACTATCTCCTCGAAGGGAACCCTGATGGGATGTGAAGCAGCAGCGGTGCGCACAGCGTTGACCTGGTTGAAACGGGCGTCGACACGGGTGCTGAAAGAATGGTTTGAAGCAAAACTCGGTGTAGCGTTTACTCGAGTAAACATTTGTTTGTAACACAAAGACATGGAGTTGATACGCGTTGAAGGCGCTTGTGCTCAGTTTTTTGGCTCGCACCTTGTCAGTGTTCTTGACTTGCACCTCGTCGGTGTCACTGGTATTCCACTGCCGATGCTTAATTCAGCTTCCCTGGCTCGCGCCTCGTCGGTGTTGACGTCACCAATCGCGAACGCGATCGGCTACACTAATCCTCGCAACGCCAGCGACAGACGGGAAAGGTACGCATACACTAGCAGAAAGAATGCCCCGTGTCACAAAACGAGCGCTCAAAAAGGGCGCGCCGCCAAAATCTCGCGACGAAGCGCCGAGAGTTCAACGATAAATAAAGAAAACAAGCATCGAAAGACTCCCCGGGCGCGCGTCCCTCTCCCCTCGAAAGCGTGAGTTCGCCGACGAACCTCCTCTCATCGGCGCCCGAGCAAGCCCTGGAACGCTCTAGATGGAAAGGGGCGTGGTGATGCAGGGTTGCGTCATCCGTCGTGGACGGCCCTCGTACCGTCTCGCGCTTTCCCCAGCCTTCGCTGCGCATCGCGCCAACGAAATGATGAGAATTTTCTGGAATCTCGCGCGGAAGGTATTTAACCGAGCAGCAGAGATGGCAGATCAGGAGGAGAAGGAATTTCGCGCCGGAGTGCGTAGGGTGTTCCGCCGTGTCGTCGGCGAAGGTTTTGTCCTCAGTGACAAAACAGGAGAAGAAGGAAGTTAACGCCAGTGTGCGTAAGGTATTCCGCCGCATCTGACGGTGAAGGTTTTGTCCGTAGTGACAAAGCAGGAGAAGAAGAAAGTATGCGCCAGAGTGCGTAGGGTGTTTCGCCGTGTGGACGAAGCCTTTTGTCTTCCGTGACAAAGAAGGAGAAGCAGAGGATTTTCACCTGAGGGGTGAAGACTCAAGCTACAGGCAAGAGTGTGGGTATACCGCTATCGAGTGAAGACGCGTGGCAATAGCTGCGTGTGTGAAGCCGACGTGTTTCCGTCGAAGAAGTTTGGAGCTTGGAGAGCGGCCAATTGAAGACACGAGGTTTCCTGGAAGAGAAACTTCGGGGCCAGCGGAACGACAACAACGCTGGACTTTGAGTGAGTGATTCTCGGAAGAGTATCATCCAGACTTTTGTTCCAAGGACTTTGGACTGAATAAGTTTCCTAACTCTTTAGTCTTTAAGTGTCTTGGTTGTTCGATGCATGCGACTGCATTGTAGTGCGTATTGTTGCCTGTGTCCGTTGTTTCGAGTGTGGCTGATTGTACTGTGTAGTACATTGTTTGATTGGTGACATATTGTATTCAACTATTGTCGAGTGTGCATACTTGTGTATCGTGTTGATCTGCCATAATTGAGAATATAGTTTTGTTTTGTTTATCAACTCTCGGCTCTGACTTGTTCTTTGGGCCACAGCCGGCGTCCACTGGTGCGCCAAATCGGACCACTTCTAAATTGTCCACGCTTTCGTGGTGCGGTTCGAGAGGCCGATACTTCGGCCCTTGGAATCAGCCCGGCGATCGCCTCCCTTATTAACGGGACCCGTGACACCCCGACAGCGTTCCGCCCATCGGCGCGATCGCGCGGCAAGGTGTGTGCGCAGCGCACACACCTGCTGACTCGCAGCTGCTTCTTGCCAAGGTGAGGTTACGCGCGGGCACGAGCGTTGGGAGTGGTGGAGAGGGTGAAGTGAGAGAGAGCTGACACAAGGTGAGCGCGCGGCAGGCGAGTGACAGAGACGTCACCGCACACTGCTAGGAGCGCGTGAGCTACTTGGCACCGCTTTAACACCTGCGGCGGGGGGAGCGGTGCAGACGGAGGGACAGCGTTACACAGGCTAGTGGAAGAGCTGCTTTCCATCTAAAATGGCAGACAATTATAGTGAGTCTACATAAATTGCATACGAGCCGGGGCTGTTGAGTAAAAGTGACAAGTCTCCTGCAAACCATTTATTACACCATGCAATGAAAAAAAAAAAAACACGCTCTAGTTACTTCTGGGACGAACACACCAGGCTGGACAGAGTTACATGAATTGAAGCTGTCATGTCGACTCCTCGACTGTCTCTGACCTACACTATGTTTTTTGCACTCAAAACAAGATGGTTATTTGCCCAACCTTTTTTCCTCAGGCCTTCGCCACCACAGTTCCTTAGATATGTCAAAGTGAGCCACACCCATTAGCGAGCGAGCTACCGTTCTTGTTGTTTCCTAGAGATGCCTATCTTGTCTGCTTGTGACAGCCTTCAATCTTTGAAAGTGTTATGTCTTTGTGAAAAAGTCTGTCTGGAGCCTTTATTGGCACTCAGCGCACTGTCATCCACAACATGGCGTACATTGGAACAGTCCAAGAACAAACAACGCCCAGCCCCAATACCTGTCTTCGTCTCTTCAGTCCGTGTCGCGCGTAATTTTCTACAGCCTTCAGCCTTAACAAAATCGTTCTCAGGGTCTCCAAAACAATTGTCAATGAAAGTGCCAAAGTGAACTTGCCGGCGGTTTATTTACCAAAAGCAGCAGAGTGGGTTGTCTAGTCGCCGATGGTCAAAGGCCTCGATGCGAACAGGGGAGCGAATTGTGGTTTTGGTTGCAAGCTTTCAGTTTGCGGTAGCGACAATGTAGGAGAAGGAGATGTATGGCAGAAAGAAAAAAGTGGCAACTATGATGGGGAAGAAAAAGTGGACGGTAAAAAGAATCCGCAAGTCCTCTAGAGATGCTTCGATGAGCCAACAGACAAGAATTCTTGGAATTTTTAACAAACATGTGGTGTGCAGTGCATGTGGCCCCCTCAGGTAACTAATAAAGCAACTACGCAGCTTGAGAAACTATGCGATGCAAGCAGGTTTCAACACACCATTATATCTATATACAAGGCATTTAAAAAAATGGGCCCAATATTATTTAAAAACGACAAAAAGGAGGCATTTGCATCCTACCTCTGGCATTTCCTTTACTTTGGCAGAAGGCCTCTTCAAATGTGTAGGAACATTAATTATGGCAGTAATTATAAAAATTAAAACAATTAACTTTTCAACCAGTGGAAATAGCCGGACCGAGTCAAATGGGCGGAAATAAAGTTCTTCCTACTAATAGTCTATAGCCATTTTTAAATTTTGGAAAGGCGGCCACTGATAATCATCACGGAGAGATGAAATCTGGTCATTAGCAGGCAAAACGGAAGCGCCAAACAGCGCATCTACCATTCGCTTCAAAAACACCCTCAAGGAAAAGTTAATTTATTTAAACTAATAGTCTATAGCCATTTTTAAATTTTGGAAAGGCGGCCACTGATAATCACCACGGAGAGATGAAATCTGGTCAATTTAGCTGGCAAAACGGAAGCGCCATAAAACGCATCTACCATTCGCTTCAAAAACACCCTCAAGGAAAAGTTAATTTTTTTAAATTGTGTCAAAAATAATCCTTTTAATTTCTTTAATTACTACCATCATTGGTGTTTGTACACATCAGAAGACGCCTTCTGCCCTAGGAAAAGGAAGGCTGCAGGTAGCCTGCAGATGCCTCCTTTCTGCAATTTTTTAATTACATCGGACATACTTCTTGAAATAACCCTGTATATGAGACCCGGGCCTAATACGAGCCTGACTCAGGCCTGGGCACGGCCCCAGCCCCAACAATGCCTTACCCACGGGCCCGGCTGGGCCGGGCCCGCTCCACCACAGTGGTCTAGTGGCTAAAATACTCCCCTGCTGACCCGCAGGTCGAGGGTTGAATGCTGGCTGCGGCGGCTGCATTTTCGATGGAGGCCAAAATGCTGTAGGCCTGCTCAGATTTGGGTGCACGTCAAAGAGCCCCAGGTGGTCAAAATTTCTGGAACCTTCCACATTGGCGCCTCTCATAACCATATGGTGGTTTCAGCATGTGTACCCCACATACAAATCAATCAATTGGCCGGGCCCAAGCTTTCGGGCCTGCCGGGCCGGGCCCGTGCAGTGCTCTATCCCCGGTATCCCCAAATTTTTTGCACATTAGACATTCTGTTCACACGAAAACACCATTCATGGCATGCAGTAACTAAAGCAGTGGCCATACGATAGCCATGCCCTTTTTACAATGCAATAAGGTGCCTGCAGTTTTATCAGTTTCTCTATGCAGCATCTCTACCAATCTGCCTATAAAGCCAGCTTTCTGACTTAGTAACATGCTGCTAGACAGAAATGCTTCTAGAAAGAGGTGGCTATGGAATGTTACTTATCTAGTTCTTAAATTTCTGCTCGCTCAGCTTCAGGCCCCACTAAGGCCAAGACTTTGCTTTCAAGTCTGCTTTGGTACATTGGTTGAAGTGCCTCCCCCACCTCCCTTTTATTATTATTTTTTTTTCGGACAGCTTAGCTTCTGCAGATCCTAGTTACCAAGTCAAGCTGAAAAAGAGGTGCACCTCATAGATGGCCAGGTCAATGCCAGCATAGGGAATGATGCCGAGGAGGTTTGGTAAGTAGCCCTTGTAGAAGCTACGCAAGCCTTCTTTCCGGTAGATTTGGTAGGCTGCGTCTACTATTCCTTTGTATTGGCCAGTTTTGCGTAATGCCAAACGAGTTTTCAGCACCTGCATTGCCACGAAAAAAAAAATGGTAAAATAACATGCGTCATAACTTATTGAGTATAATATGAAGAAGGGTAATGTACACTGAAAAAAAAAATTGACAGAGATGGAAAGCAGAAATTAATAGGAAACAATGTTAGGTGAGTCGTCATAGCTGCAAGCAGATATTCAGCCTTTATTTCTACACTCACTGTACAAACACAAGCCAAGAACATTGAAACAGAGTTTGGTATTACTTATTAGATGATTCAGCAAAATTTTGCTGTATCTATGAGTAGACCAGCCCAATAACATGCCTTACTTTATTACATGAGCAGTAATAAAATTACAGTTGAAGTTTGATAAAGAAAATCATCGGTTAGTCTTTTCTGTAAATAAAACCAAATCCACGAAAGCCATCGCAATATCAGTTGTAAAAAAAGGAATATTGGGTTACCCCAAGACTCAAAACTCGAAAGGCAGCATAAAAAGAAAAATAACTGTTCAAAGACAATTCACAACTTCACTTTTTTTTCTATGTGGCTGAGACATTAACAATATGGTCAGAAATTTGGTTTAAAAATTTACAGGAATTCTGATCATCCAGGGAGGGGAGGAGGGCAACCAAAATTTGAAGAAAGGTGTCCCCCAGTGCCTTCCCTCCCAAGAGCCACCCTTGATCCGCACCAATGTAACACTAATTATCCTTCAGTTTTGTTCTAATCTTTCTTGGGATACGTTAATGCAGAAATTTTTGTCTGTCTCCTTTTCTGTCTGTCGGCGATTTAGCCACCCCGCCAAAGTGAACTATTTGAATGGCCAGCCACTCTGAACTTGTGGCTGCGTTTACACTTGTGAACATTGTCAATCAAAAAGCAAATATCATACATATCTGAGGCACATCAATATAAAAATATTAGGTGGTTTGTTCCTTTACTAGAAAATACATAGCTAGATAATTCGAAAGACCTCAGCGTCTTTAGAATTATCTGTACTAAAAATGTGATACTATGCACAGGAAAAAAAAGCCCTTTCCTGACGATATTGTCACAGAGTCGTGATGTGGCCGAACACGGGAGACTTTATTTTGGGATTTAACTGTTTAATTTGGGCGAACCTGTGCCCGGTAAACGGAAAGTTCGATTACAGTAGCAGTCTTGCACAGATAGCAGTGAACGGAGCGTCGGCCGTTGATCAACTACTGACAAGCGGCGAAGTGCGTCGGCATTTATACTCTTGCCATCGAATGTTCTAGCGTTATCGCTGGCGGTGGCGTAGGTTCCAGAATAATCTGTACAGTTCGCAAAATGGGTGTGATCTTATCGAACTGATCTACTAAAGTCCGGAAGCTTCTCGAAAACTGCACGCGCGTTTTGCGCTGAGAATTGTGTAGTGTTTTGGGGCGATAACAAAACTTGAGAAATGAAACGTGGCAATATTCACTCTATTCGTGATATTATTCATGGTGGAACGTGAACAATATGGTGCTGCCACCTGGCAGTGGCCCTGGGTTTTGCACAAAATCATGTTTCCTAACACCACTACCAGATGGTGTCCATATCTCATGCAGTGCCTCTTCTATTTTATCAACACCGGCAGGATGTGGCCAATTCAACACAAAGAAGGCACTGTCTCAGGCAAGGTAAAACATAAATAGCTGTGGATGATAGTAGGACTCATGTAGTACGACCAGCAGAAGACTATCGTCTTTTGACGACATTCACAGCGAAGCATGCAGATACGCAGTCAATTTTAGTGCGGTTCTAAAGCTGAATTCTCGAAAATTATGTACATAAGTGCTTTTTGAAACTAGATGATTGCCTATCAGCACCTACAGCACCGAAACTTCCAGATTCTACTATAAACATTTCTAGCAAAACATTATCTTATGGACCCAGGGCCCGTAAAATACATTTGTGTTATATATTCCCGAGTATGTGACAGCTCCTGGATTAGACCATAGATGTAAATGTAGTGATCCACCATTTTACAGCATACTGCAAAGTTAATTTGTGCAGGACTAATATTTGAACGCAATGAACCTTCCCACTGGATTATTATAGTCCATTTTAACAGGCACTAATTGAAGTACTATGGAGCTTTTTATGTGCGTTGCTGCTTAACCATCAATTCATAAATGAAAAGTCATATAGAAAGGATACAATTAAATTGCAAAGATGCATGACATAGAGCACAGGTTAAGCAAACTATTATTTAGGCCGGGAGTGGTGCAGAATAAAAAACCTTTTTTATATTTTCGTTATTTAAGAATTATGGTTCAAAGTTCATTAGTGAAATTGCTTTTTACTTTTTTTTTTCATGAGTCAAAAACCAAGGTGGGCCTTTGCCCCTTCAGAAGGAATCCTTGGAGTCGAGACTCCATTCTGCTTCGTTCCCACTCTGCTACTGCCCAAGATGGAAGGCTCTTAAAATTTAACAAGTGAGCACTAGCCCAGACTAGCGCTCTTTGCCCTTAGTCGACCTTGCGCCATTAAACTCTAAACATCATCATCACTAGCCCAGACTAATCTAGCACAAACTTAGTTTCAAATCATCACAAGTTCTTAGTCAAATTTGCACATTGCTGTGTAAATGGACGCTTTTATAGGTTTATTTTGTTTAACAAGAACCGCGATCTAGGAAGTACAAAGGTTTTGAGAATATTTGAGGAGCTGGTAATACGTCGAACTCGAGAATAAATTTTCTCTGAGCAACCAGACAGCCCGGAGAATGATAAATATCCCTATAAAACATACAGCTGAAGCTACATTGTCACTGTGCAGCAGAACTAGCCTGCCCATAGACCTGTCTGTATTCTGAAAAAAAAAAAAAGCTATGTGGACTGAACTTGCCCAACAAATCATATTTTTGTTTTTTTTGCTTTTTTGCAATCTTAGGCTGTTGTATTTACAATATTTTTACTCTTTATGCTACTCAATTTCCAAATATTTGCATGGATGTGTGCAAGTGTAACTGTAGTTTTAACTAGGACTGTACAAATATTCAAAACTTCAAATATTTTTCCAAAATGCTTGCTATTCGACTTGATTCACACTGCAATTTCGCTATTCGAACCTCCTAAAGACAAATACAGTCAACATACGATAGGTAGTGGCCCCTTCGAATTTTAAATACGCTTCATATCGTCACATTCTCGCATTGCAGCAAAACTTCCCTTCAAACTTTGATATTGTTGCAACTGAATTGACTCGAGCAAATGCTGATTCCAACATGGAGATGCACTGTGCCGTTACAGCGTCCTCTTTAAATTTTAACACAAAAGTGTTTATGCTGGGGTTTACCAATATTTTAGTGACATGTTTTTGGTCACGGAAATAATGTAAAAAAAATAAGCCTGAAGAAAAAAAGTTGCATCAACGGGTGTCAAACCTCTAACATTTTGGTCTGCGACAACAAAAGCCGGGCAACGCTACCCACTGCGCCATGGTGTCATACTCTGGAAGATCTACAAACACACTATAAATGTGATTTATTGCACAGGAGCTGTTGAGCGATCGCGCACAGTTCCGAGCACAGTCCGCAAACTCGAGTCTCTGCTGCACACATGATACTGGTGCACTTGCGCCAATCTACTTCCTCTTCATTACAATTGGACCGCGGAGAGAAATGAGCCATCCTGGCGACTCAGTCATCCTCAGGGGCTGCGCAACTGTAATACAGCTTGAGCCTTTAAGGGGAGACGCTCCTCGAAAGCACTTTTTTTTTGTTATTCAACTTAGAGCTTCAGAAATTGGACCACTGATGCAGTTTTTCCTCCTGATTCCAAATCTGTAATCAGTTTTTACATAAGTGCAATAGTTTGGGAGTTGTGTTTCAAGTAATGGTGAAACTTGATAAGTTTTCCGGGAACTTTCGCGCATACTAAATGTTCATGCAGAGAGTTGTTCAATGGCTCCTTTTGCTCCCTATTAGCCATAGAGTGCCGATATCTAGCTAGAAATTGTGCTCCAACTTTGAAACTATGAAAAAAACATCTGTGTAGCAAACTACCCTTTTTTTTCCACTCGACCACCATTAAATTTATTAATAGATATTTACAGCTGATAGGTTGTGCTGATTCAAGTAGATATCGGCACCCTACGCACTCTCCTCAATGTGTGTGCCAAATTTCGTCGTCGTATGACCATTCTAAGTGCCCGAAACACTTCCCGCAAAAAATGCAAATTGGCCAAAATTGCGAAATGAGAAAAACGCGTTTGAAAGTTTGAAAGTCTGTATTTACAAAAATGAAAAACGCAGTAGCACGAAACTTGTGCTGAACACATACACACATGTCCAGAGGGAATATCAGTTGTCTAAAACTCTCCAGCACCGTAGGTTTTCCCTTCCCGGCTGGTGCGGCAGGACTCTTCCACCCGGGCCCTCTTGGCTGCACTGCGACGGTGTGCCCTCGCCTCAGCGGTCTGACGCACATTCATCTTGTGCATGCGCATGCTGTCTCGGCGGTCGCTGAGGGTAACCAGGGCCTCCGAAGGAAGCACCCCAAGCTCTTCCAGCACCTTTTCAAAGCTCGCGTGGCCCCGGTTGAACCACAGGACTGCAATGGCTGTGGCTGTTTCCACAGCAGTCCGGGAAGCAAACCGGGTCTTTGGACACAGCAGCCATATTTTGCTGTTCAGGGACTCGGCCGCGTTCTGTGTCTTGCCGTGGAGGCACCGGGCAAGCAGCTTCGCATCTGTGAGACGCTTGTAGATTGGGAGGACTGCCAAACCCTGGGCCTTGGTCAGGAGGGGGGTGTGGCACGGTGCAGGCTGGCCCTGCGCCTCAGCACGTCGGTGCTTGCACCACGAGTCTGGGCCTGCAGGACAGAACTTGTGACTTCCAGCACCGTCTGTTGAGCACGAGTGCAAACATGAGGCCCATATGGCAGTGTACATCTTGTGGACATTTCCCCGATTGTTCACAATGGCCACCTGAAAGTAAGTTTGAAGCTTCTGGATGGTGGTCTCCTTCAGCTTCTCCCCTCGTGGAAGTGGCGTTGGCAGCTTCCGCAGGCCGGTGCC